TTATTCGATGGGATGGTGTAAGCTATAAACACAGCCTATGGCCAGGAACCCAATAAGCTGTCACTAACCCACTGTGAGACATGGGACCAGTCCCTTCTCATTATTCATTTGTATATGGCACTGTAAGGAGGACCAGGCCTGCCCTCGGGAGCACGGAGCTTGTTAAGGAAGGCAGATACGTAGAGCTAACTAGAATTCAGTGTAATTTGTGTCTATTGAGAAGCCCGAGCAAAGGTGCTTCCTTGGCCTTTCTTTTCAATCTGAATAATGGAAGGGAAGAAGCATCAATTTGCCTATTGTTCTGGGAAGATAGGATTTTGCAGCATGCTTTGGGACGACTAGTGGGCCAAGGCCTCTCTGTCCTCACTTGAACCAATGTAGTTGCACTTTTTCCAATTTTATATGTTATGATTGATGTAAGATTTATTTCACAACAGGGATTCTGCTGCTGAAAAATGGACAAAGAACAGGCACAAGAGGGGTCCACACTTAGCTGTGCACAGAACCTCCTGCAGTGAGCGGCCTGACCTTTCATTGGTGTGTGCGCACATGAAGGCCCGGCGTGAGCTCCACTCCTCGATTACGGCTGAGGAGCCCCAGCAGCAGGTCCCGGATTCCAGCCTTGAGAGTTCTGAGCTGAGACAGATCAGGATGCCAGTGGTGGCTTTAGCACCTGGTGGTGGATGGCCCAGGGCAGCTCTTGACCTTCTTGCCCGTTTCCTCACCAGTAAGTTGGGGGCTTGTTCCTACACAGGTTTGCTGTGCTGCTTCACGTGTGAAAGCTCCAAGTTCATGCCATTCATACAGGTCTCAGCTACTGCTGTGACCTGCTGTTTCAGTTCAGGGTCCCAGGGCCTCCCCTTGGATGTGATCCTTGTTTTAGTGTTGGTGAGCCACTCCTTCCACTGACTGGGCCGAAAACCAGGTGAATTGTGCCTGCTTTCCTCTTCAGTCTTGTAAACTCTTGGGATATGGTTGATACTCCCCTGTATGTGCAGGGCAGACTTTATTAGCCTCAGCCTCAGGATAAGTAGCAGAGCTGGGGGCTGCAGTCCCATCCCTGAAGGCCAAGTGTAGCTTTGGATGGTGCCTTCAGCATAAACTGAGTCACAAGGACTTACTTACACAGTGACAGATCAGCTCTGTGGGCAGGACTCAGCTAGGCCCATAGGGACCTGGGTCTTGGTAATGCTGTTCTAGGACACTAACCAGCAAGAGGTAAAACGAGCTTTGTAGGGAGGGGTTAGAAAAATGCAGGAAGAATTATAAGCAGTACAAGTTTATTTAATTACTTTGGAAACAATTCCCCACCCCCCAAATGATGCCTGAACCTAAAAGGTACATAAAAATGACCAACAATATCAATATCTTAAATAATAGAGCTGACAGTTGTTTTTCCCTCAGAACAGGTGTGTTCAGCTGGACAGTTAATTACAAACCATATCAAATCATGTTAAGGCAGATGATAACCTGGGTGCATTTCTGAACAACTCCCAGGAAGTGATCTTGTGGGAGCTGGGTGTTCTTCCTCCCAGCTGTGTGGTCAGTTGGCCCACGAAGGGGCAGTCCTGGAGGCAGCAGGTAGAGAGCAAGCTGTGCCTGTCTTGTCACTGCTCGTTCTGCTGACCCTCTGTGACTGAAGTGGACACAGAACCCTGGCCCTTGTTGACATCACTGATGCACACCCACTGCCCGTCAACCGACTCCTTCCACAGGGTCACCTGCAAGCCAGCACACACATTGTTACAGGTATGTATCCCTGCCCATACCTCCCTGGGTTCTCTAAAGAGGGCAAAGATCTCCAGCAAGAGCTACAGCTCACAGTCTTGTGGGTAAACTTACTTTGGTTCCCCCCACTGAAATCCCACCAAAGTGGAAGTAAAGGAAAAGTATCCACACAGAGTAAGAAAGGAGGAGTATGGAGAGTGATGTCATGAAGATGGTGACACAACTTGTTCACGGCTTCACTTTCCCTCAAAAGAAGAACTAACAGCTATTCATAGAGACACACCAGTGAACAAATCCTACAACACAGCAGTGAGGCTGAAGTGTCCTGCACTGTGGACACTGAGACCGACTGTGTTTGAAGGTAAGAAGGGGCCACATGTTGATCCCGGCATCCCTTCCAGGGGCTGGCACAGTACCCTGGGGAGCGGCCTCCCCTGAGGCTCTGGCCCCCCCAGTGACATCCAGCACCTGTTCCCCCCTCCCACTGCATTGTGCTCGTCACTTTGCAGGTGCTGATACTCCGGTTTTGCTCCACCAGGATCGCAGCTGAATCTGTGAGGCCCAGCTGCCGAGAATCAGACTGTGACCAGAGACGGCTTCCAACAACCAGCACTCAGATCTCCACAGCCCGAGTCCCTGCCTGCAGGGCCCAAGTGAGTCTGTTCTGACAGGGAAGCTGGGGCACAGGTAGGCTTCAGTCCAGACCACAAACAAAGCATTAGTAACCTTAAAGCTGCTTCCCTGGAAAGCACACCAGTCCATAGCTGCACTTGCTACTGAATACAGCCTTTGGACTGCCCAACCAGCGAAGCCACATAGCCGGTCAACAACCCTGCGTAAGGTAACACAGGAATAGAAGGCACTGCCAGTGGCATTCACTGTCTGCATAGCAAATCCAGTGGCCTCACCTGATCAGGAATTCAGTGCACACTCTTGACTCTTCAGCTCCCCCCAAAATAAGCCCTGCATTCTCTGGATCCTATTCTGCTGGGTACTGCCAGGGCAAGGAAGGTAATTCTAGCCTCACCTACTGCTGAGTCAAGTAGCCAGTCCTGACTGTCTAGCAAGCCTGACCAGAGAATCCAGGCAGCTGTGAAGCCGATGCTCCAGCCTCACTAGTGCAGGGAAAGAAACCAGCTGTCCTATCTACCTGATCTCAGCCAGTGGCACATTCAGAGTTGAAAAAAGTGCCTCAACCCAAAACAGAACTTAACAGCAGGTCCTTTCACCTAAGAACACTCATAGGAGAGAAAGCCAGAAACCCAAATTGAGCTGGCTAGTGAAGAACTGTATCTGCACACTTCCAGAGGTACAATGAATTCTTCGAAAAAGAATTCAAACAGGGCCCACTGTCAAGAAGCCCACTTCCAATCTCTTGCATGCCTATAAACTAACAATGAAAAATCAGAGAAATTAAGCAAAGACTCCCATTTACCACTCAAACAAAAAGAATAAAATACCCAGGAATAAACCTACCTAAGGAGGCAACAGACCTGTATGCAGAAAACTATAAAAGACACTGATGAAAGAAATTAAAGATGATGATACCAACAGATGGAGAGATATACCATGTTCTTGGATTGGAAGAATCAACATTGTAAAAATGACTATACCATGCAAAGCAATCTACAGATTCAATGCAACACCTATCAAACTACCAATGGCATTTTTCACAGAACTAGAACAAAAAACTTTACAATTTGTATGGGAACACAAAAGACTCCGAATAGCCAAAGCAATCTTGAGAAAAGAAAAACAGCTGGAGGAATCAGGCTCCCCAACTTCAAAGTATACTACAAAGCTACAGTAAGCAAGAGAGTATGGTACTGGTACAAAAACAGAAATATAGATCAACTGTACAGGATAGAAAGCCCAGAGATAAACCCACGCACCTATGGTCAGCTAATGTATGACAAAGGAGGCAAAGGATGTACAATGGGGAAAAGACAGTCTCTTCAATAAGTGGGCTGGGAAAACTGGACAGCTACATGTAAAAGAATGAAATTAGAACATTCCCTAACACCATACACAAAAATAAACTCAAAATGGATTAAAGACCTAAATGTAAGGCCAGACACTATCAAACTCTTAGAGGAAAACAAGGCAGAACACTCTATGACATCAATCACAGCAAGACCCTTTCTGACCCACCTCCTAGAGAAATGGAAATAAAAACAAACAATGGGACCTAATGAAACTTAAGACTTTGCACAGCAAATCAAACCATAAACAAGACGAAAAGACAACCCTCGGAATGGGAGAAAATATTTGCAAATGAAACAGACAAAAGATTAATCTCCAAAATATACATGCAGCTCAATATCAAGAAAACAACCTAATCCAAATATGGGTGGAAAATCTAAATACACATTTTTCCAAAGAAGACATACAGAATGCCAAAAAACAAAAGATGCTCAACATCACTAATCATTAGAGACATGAAACTCCAACAAGCTATCAATCACCTCACACCTGTCAGAAAGTCTGCAAACAATAAATGCTGGAGAGGCCGTGGAGAAAAGGGAGCACTCCTGCACCACTGGGGGGTGTAAATTTGTAGAGCCGCTACAGAGAACACTACAGAGCTCCTTAAACCACCACAAACAGAGCGACCACATGACCCAGCAAGCCCACTGCTGGGCACACATCTGCAGATAACCATACTTGGAAAGCCAACACTTGCACATTCACTGACTACAGCAAGACCTACAACACTCAAGGTTCGGAAGCAACCACAATCTCCATCCACAGGCGGATGGAGAGAGAACATGTGGTACATATATAATGGATTGAACACTCAGGCATAAAAAAGAATGAAATAATGCCATTGGCAGCAAGGTGGAGGGACCTAGAGATCATACTAAGTGAAGCAAGTCAGAGAAGAACAGATATGATTTCACGAAGAGGTGGAATCTAAAAATTGATAGGCGTGAACTAATGTACAAAACAGAAACAGACTCACAGACGTAGAAAAGAAACTTAGGGTTACCAAGGGGGAAAGTATGGGGGGAGGGACAAATGCCATGGTTGGGATTAACCTGTACACACTAATATTTATAAAATGGATAATCAACAAGGACCTTCTGTGGAGCACAAGGAACTCTACTCAACAATCTGTCACAACCAATAGGGGAACAGAATCCGAGAGAGAACAGATATATGTATCTGCATAACTGAAACACGTCACTGTACACCGGAAACAAAAACAACACTGTAAATGTACAACACTCCAAACTAAAATCAGAAGTAAAAACAAAATACAATAAAAAGAGAAAAATGCCTCCTCTATTCCGTGTTGGCTTTGGGAACCTGGGCTACTGTCACACCCCTGGAGCCTGGGCAGCCAGCAACACAAGGCTGGAGTGTTCTGGGCCTGAGGGAGCTGGGGAGGATGTACCAGCAAATGAGCCCCCCTTGGACCTGGAGTGTCTGGTCCCCTGGGGATGTCACCACAATCTCCAGATTCAGACAGAACGCCCCCCCCCCCCCCGCCCCCGCAGCTAAAGCCAACCTAGTGCACGCAGAGGATGGTGGACCCTCTGGCCGGGAAGAGCTCTGAATAGTCTCCTAGCCTCCACGTCTGCTGGTGGTGGCCTTCCCACCTAAACTGCCTTCATTGGGGTCACCCCACCCATGTAGGACAGCACCCTCAGCACTGGGGTTTTGCAGGGGTTAGGACCTGTCTGGGAGGGGGGAAATGAAGTAATGAGATACAAGCCCTTGGGTGTTTGTGCTGACACATTCCACTAATTCACAACCCAGGAACACGACTTCCCCTTAGGCTGTACATGCAGGTGTAACCAGAGCTGGGCATGAAAAAATCCTGCCGCCTTTTGGCCGTTTCCAGTAACAACAGCTTTAAAGCAGGTGCTCAGGGGAACTTCATATTCTCAAAGCCTGTGAGCCTGTAAAGACCCCTGCCGTCACGAAATGCCCAGGAGCAGGTAATAGGAAAGGAATTCAAAACAGGGCCTAGTTTTGGGAGGCCAATTTCCAGAGGTACATTTTACTCATAGTGTTAAAAAGAGGCACATGAAAAGATGCTGAACATTCCTAATGTTAGAGAATTGGAAATCAAAACGGCAAGGAGGCGCCACGAACAAAAAGTCTACAAACAATACATGTAGCAGAGGGCATGGAGGAAAGGGAGCCCTCCTATGTTTTTGGTGGGACTGCGATCTGGTAATAACTACTATGGAGAAAAGAATGGAGGTTCCTCAAATAGTAAACACATAGCTACCATATAATTCGGCAGTCCCACTCCTTGCCACATACGTAGATAAAAGTATAACTGGAAAAAGTACATGCACCCCTATGTTCATAGCAGCACTATTTAGAATAGGCAAGACATGGAAACAACCCAAATGTCCACTGACAGAAGAATGGGTAAAGAATATGTGCTACATATATACAATGGAATTATTATTATAAAAAAGAATATAATGTCACTTCTACCAACATGGGTGGACGTAGATATTATATCAAGTGATGTAAGTCATGATGAGAAAGACAAATACCATATGATATCACTTACATGTGAAACAAAATATGACAAATTATCTATGAAACAGACTCCAAGGCTTAGAGAACAGACTTCTGGTTGCCAGGCTGGATGGGGGGTGTGGGAGGGATCTATTGGGAGTCTGGGATTAGGAAATGCAAAGTAGTGTATATAGAATGCACAAACAACAAGGTCCTACTGTATAGTACATGGCAATATATTCAGTATCATGTGATAAACCATAATGGAAAGGAATACGGAGAAGAATATATATATGTAAATGAATCACTTTGCTGTAAAGCAGAAATTAATACATTGTAAATAAACCATACTTCAATAAAACAAACTAAAAAAAATTAAAAATAGAACTGCCATATAATCCAGCAATTCCACTTCTGGGTATAAATCCAAAGGAAATGAAACACTAACTTTTGAGGATATGGGGAGGGGGAAGGGTGAGCTGTGACAGGGCAAGAGAGAGGCATGGACATATATACACTAACAAACGTAAGGTAGATAGCTAGTGGGAAGCAGCCGCATGGCACAGGGATATCGGGCTCGGTGCTTTGTGACCGCCTGGAGGGGTGGGATAGAGAGCATGGGAGGGAGGGAGAGGCAAGAGGGAAGAGATATGGAAACATGTATATGTATAACTGATTCACTTTGTTATAAAGCAGAAACTAACACACCATTGTAAAGCAATTATACCCCAATAAAGATGTTAAAAACAAACAAAAAAACCTCAAAAAACAAAAAAACCCACTAACTTGAAAAGACATTTGAGTCCCCAAGTTCATAACAGCAGTATTTACAATTAGCAATACATGGAAACAACCTAACTGACCATCAACAGAAGGGTGAATAATTAAGTTGTATTTATATATAAATACACACACACACACACAAAATGGAGTATTATTAAGCCATAGAAAACAAAGAATATTTGATATTTGCGACAACATATATGGACCTTGAGGGCATTATGCTCAGTGAAAAGAGTAAGAGTGAAAGACAACTGTACATCTCACTTGGATGTGTAATCTAAAAACAAAAAACCAAACAGAAAAAGGTATCAGATTCATGATTATCAGAGGCAGTGTGTGGGGGAGGGGGAATAGGAGGAAGGTGGTCAAAACTCGATTTGCATGACAAACTTCCAGTTGCATGATAAATAAGTACTGGTATGTAATGTACAGCATGATGACTACAGCTAACACAGGTATAATATATATGAAAACTGTTGAGAGTAGATGCTAAGAGGTAACATCACAAGGAATGTAATTTTTTTCTCTATTATATCTATATGAGATGATGGATGCTAACTAAATTTATAGCAGTAATCATTTAACAGTACATGCAAGTCAAAACCATTATGCTGTACACTGTTAACTTATACAGTGATGTATATCAATTATATCACTAAAACTGGAAGAAAAGATTAAACAAAAAGCATATGAATAACAGTAACTGAGGGGCAATGTGAATAATGATGTAACATGAAATATTGGCAATAATAATAATGTAAACATGGATGCCGTTTAACCAAATTGACAGAGCTCCAGTGAGAGGTTATGGGGTGTTAGAGTGGTTCTCAAAATGTGGTCCCAGACCAGAGTGTGTGGAGCATCTGGGAACTTGTTAAAAATGCAAATTTTGGGGTCCCAGCCCAGATCCACTGGTTCAGAAGCTCTAGGGGTGGGGTGGGTAATCTGTTTTAACAAGTTTAGCAATGCTAAAGTTTGAGAACCATGGTAGAGGAAGACAACAGATTAATAGGTATGTTATTTATACACTGAAGTAAACGGCAGAAGCAGCAGCTACAAGTTGAAAAGGTTTGCCTCCGTACAGGGAAAATTAGACTGCATTAAAAAAAAAATCATAGGGACTTCCCTGGTGGCGCAGTGGTTGGGAATCTGCCTGCCAGTGCAGGGGACACGTGTTCGAGCCCTGGCCCGGGAGGATCCCACATGCTGCGGAGCAACTAAGCGC